TCCACATTAGAATCGAGGTCACTTCGAGGAAGAAGGAACCAAGGATCGTCGTTCTTGGATAGGTGGCCGGAGTGGTGGAGGATGATGGTCGTCCAATGGAGAGAGAGAGACTTGGTATTAACTCAAATGGGGCCCATAATTAATCACAGATTTTAATCAAAACCTGAACGGAAATTTCAGGTTTCAATTAAGATGAAAAGTTACCTAATGCATGGCACTCAATTGAATTGATTTGAATTTCAAAATTGGATGGAAATACAATAAGGAAGATTGCCAAAAATCAGGGATTTAATTTAGGAAAGTTAATTACGTCTCATGGGGAGATTTGAAATTTCAAATTTCAAACCCCATGGAGGGAGGCGGCGGGTTAGGGGGGAGGCGACGGGTGGAGGGCCGGCGGGAGGCGGCAGCCTGGTGGCCGGCGGTCTGGGCAGGTTAGGGGGGAGGCGACGGCATGGGCTGCAGGCCGGCGGGTGGTTGGGCTGCTGCTGGCCGGCGGTTTGATAGGGAGGGGCGGCGGAAGCACTTGGTGGAGAAGGTCATGAGAAGGAGGCTTAAGAAGAAAATTCACGGATGGATTCACCTTGACTTCTCAAACCAATTAATCACAAGGACAATGGGGAAGAAGGTCTAGAACTCACAAAGAGATCTAGCTCTTCTCAAAACTCACTTAGAGATTTGAGAGAGATGAACTCACAAAGAGAACACAAACCAAATTTTCATTTCATCAAAACTGAAATTTAAATGCATGGGGCCTCATATAAATAAGCCACAATGAAATAACAAGAAATGACATAAATGTCCGTCCGGGCTACATAAACGACTCGATGCCCATAGGGGCAAACTATGAAACAAGAAATACATTCATAAAATAAAATGCAAATCTATCAGAAGTAGAGGCTCTGGATCGTGGCCGTCGATCTGCATCTCCGTCGATGGTACACATGTCGAAATCTGATGTCCTCATTAAAACCAGTACGACATTCCAAAACTTGCTCAACATTTTTACTTACAATCCATCGTACAAAGACTTCCATATACTTTGCAGAACACGTGGTCCTAAAAGTTCAGTTGTACTTGACTTTCAGATTACATCAGAACCCATACAAAGTTTCAACTTTCAAACATTCACTATAGATTGTTATTTGTACTTAATTTATTAACATAAAAAAAATGCAGTGGTTTTTATGCTTATGTCTAGATGCCTACTTATAGCTCCACTTCAACTTGTCCCCCTTTACCTCCTACACCTACATATATAGTAAGTGAGACTAGAATCCCTCTCACATCAGCATCAGAAAGATGGGGCCAAAAGAGTACTTGTAGTGTTAGTTAATCTCCCAATTAGCAAGAGGTGTTAGAATCCCTCCTACGTCTGCATTAGGCAGATAGGACCAGAAGAGTACATTTAGGGCCCTTAATGGCAAAATGGATTGGGGTTTCTTTATATTTAAAAAGCATTAATTTTGATCTAGCGTTGTGGCCCTCGCTTACCAAATTTTGCAGCATCCATAGAGAATTTTTTATATTCTCCCTAGAAGATGCTCACTTGAGACTCGGCATTACGACGACGCTTTTCGGCACCGCTGTGCTAGCCAAAACTTAATTTTTTCCCCAAAAACCAACGTTCTCAATGCCGATGGTGGCTCTGCCATCCCTGGCTCCGCAGTGCCCACTGATAGAAATTCCAGACTTTGAATTTTACATTCTTAGACCTCGATCGTGATTATTTTCTACCCATTCAACCTTCTAAGATCTGTAATCACTAATTAGCTCAACATTAACGATTATCAACAGATAATTACTTGGATTTTAGATGACATATATTACATACATAGAGGTTTGTACTTTGTATTGCCGTGCAGTGATTGATAGAGTTGAGTTGTTGGAATGATGCAATTGACAGTGCCAAAGGATGGTTATTGTAAGTTTGGATATCTGCACAATTGTGGTGGATAGGTTTTGATTTGATGAAATGGATACATGCACTATGGAAATAATTCATGAAAATGGTTTGGTTTTCTTCTAGTTCTCGATGCAAAAATCAGTGGTCAAATGAGATGAAATAATTATCAACAGTAGTGAGTTTGTGAACTGAGAGAAGATTGTGAGAGATTTGAGAGACACGGAGAAGCATAAGGAGAATGAGCTTACCATTAGAGGTGGGTAGAATTCCCAGCTTGTATAGGATATTGGGTGGAGGTGGCAGTGCTGACAATGTCATGCTTGCTCCCTTGATATTGTGGTGGTTATTGAGGATGGTCGAAATTTGAGGTGAGGTGTGATGATGCCCCAAAGTTAGTTACCAGTAAAGAAATGCAGACTGTTGAGATTTGAGCAAAGCAGTGGAGGGGTGTTATGTTATAAAGGTAACTATAGTTCAGGTTGCGTGGATGCCAACAATTATGGGCAAAATGTCTGTCGTTTTTTGTTGTAGATTTGGTGGACAATTGGGTTGGAAGAAGTTTTGGCATCCCTTATTTGATGGAATGATCATCCATTTTTTTTTTGTAGGAGGTGGATCTAATACCATGACCTCGAGAAGGTCAACAAGTACCACGCTCATGCATGATGGTTAGATCATGGTGAGAATCTGTAATTGGTTGATCTTTGATGGTCTTGTTGATGATATTGATCTCTTTAATGTGGAGAAGAGGGTGGAGATTATCAAGTTTTATCGAAGAGAATTGGTTGTGGATTGTGGTTTTGATTTTTGAAAGCTTGATAGGTAGGTGGAAGGCAATTGAGAATGTAGAGGTTGATATTCTCATTCTCCATATCAGAACTTGTTGTCATAATATTATCAACAAAAAATTGATTTAGGAGAGGTATGGAGTAGTTTTTTTATTTTTCTTAGAAATATGATGTAATTGATTTTTGAGGTGAATAACTTCTGAGCAATTTGGGGACTGCTGACTTCTTTAATGGTCATCCAAATTTCATAGCAAGACTCAGTGTTGAGTACGTAGGGCAGATTAAAGACAATGATGGTGGAATAAAGTAGGGGTTTAAATGAGTTTAGTCGAGCTCGAGTCACCCCTGGCTTGAGCTTGATTAATTAATTCAGTTTGAGCAAGCTCGAGCTTTATTCAACAAGTTCGAGCCGGCTCGTTTATTTTGAAATAGAAAAAATGATTTTGATTTAAGCAATTATTATAATAAAATGGTTAAAAAAAGAGAGAATTTATGAGAAAAATAATAAATAATCACTTAATATAAGAAATTGAGATATAAATTTCAAGCATTTTTAATAATTTTGTACTTAAAATTTTGAATTTTAATATATTTTAAGTATATTTTATATTGATATTTTTTAAACGAGCCGGCTCACGAGCTAACGAGTCGAGTTGGGACTGGTGCAAACTTGGCTCATTAGATCATTGAGCTTAGTTCACGAGCCAATTATCGAGCCGAGCCCGAATTGGCTCACGAGTTGGCTTGACTCATTTACACCCCTAGAATAGAGAGAAGGTGCGAGGTTTTGATTAATCTGTTGTCATATGTGATTGTGCGGGTTGGGAATAATCTGGCTCTATGTGCTCACTGTTGTTTGGGGAGATTGACAGAGGATCCATCTAGGAACCTTTTAAAACCTTTAACCTTTAGTATTTTGAGCATTTGAAATCATCAAATGGGAGTCTGTCTAGAGATTTGGGTGCTGGCCATGTGCTTAATGTTTGACTTAAAAACTTGAGTGTGGAGGGAATTATTAGATCACTTATTTTGAGAAGAACTGAGTTTTGGGTGCTATGATAATTCATCGATGAATATTCAGAGTGATCCACATTGAGGGAAGGTAAATGCTGCTAAGTTAATGCTCTGATGCCATGATAGATTTAAATGAGAAGAACATAGAAGAAAGCATTTAAAAGGTTTCAGTACAGAAAGAGAAATATTATAGAGTACACAGACTAATTCATTGTTTCAACTGAGTTCAATACAAATACAACAAGGTATTAAGTTGCTCTATTTATATTAGAGAAGATAGAATGCTAATTATGCTATCAATTATGTTGTAAAGCTGAGTTTTCCATGGAAGACGTGGATCACTTATGCTGTTATGATTAAACGGTTGGAGTTCATTGTAGAGTAAGTAGCTGTACACATGTATGGCTGGCTGTAGAGATGTTAATATTTGTATTATTTTTGACATTTTTCCTTTCAATTAATGATTTTGTTAGCATACTGACTTTATGAACAAATCTTGTGAGTGGCTAAAATGGCGGGTTGTTCAAAGTGTGGACCAATGGGAAGCATTGAGTAATATTCATGGAAACAAGAGTGAACGGTTAAACTGTGGATCAACAAACAATTGTATTAAATTGAGATTAACCTTCTCGACCAATAAAAGCAGTATTTTGAAACATTTATGATTTCTCGAATTTATTTGGCATGTTCATCAGTACAATGTGTCAAATTTGAAGAAGGACAGAATGGTTATATCATCTACCATTTTGTTGCCGCCATCATTATTGATTTGTGCTGGCCTTTTGTATCCTGTTTTTGCAACTCATTCCTATTTAGAGTTTCATGTGGTGTTTAAATTTTTTATTTGAGCTCATTCTTTGACTATCATTCTTGTTATGAGCAAAAGGTGAATGTTGTGCATGATTTTGTTATGATTCCATATCAACAATATTGGCCATGTGAATGTTAACCATCATCATCGTCATCCATATTCTATTGACTATTGAAGGGTATGATTGCTATTGCCGGATTTTAATTTTAGTGGTGTCATGCCCTATACGTCATGCTTCAATACTGTGATAATAGACTTTCATTTTAACAAATAACCTTAGCCTCTGTACTCAAATCTGAATCAGACTCTCTGTAGTTCAGTAAATGGTTTGCAGCTGTGAAGCATGAGAATACAATAATCAGCAGCATTTGCTCCCATTATGATAATAGTTTGATATATGCCTTTTTTTATGGATCTTTTATATGATTGATTATTTGATTGTCTGATTAATATATATTTTTTTATTATGATTTCTCTGCAGGGAGATGATAATATCTCTGGTTCAGCTCATATGGGGGGTGCTTTTGTGGCCTTGTTAACCTGGGTTGCTCTAAAGAAGGGCTGGTTTTGATCTACGAGGCTAATCAAATTCAAAGAAAATAATAATAATAATATTAAGTTTCTTCTGGCAATTATAAGAAAAATACCAAGTTTCCGTTTGAGTTATGTCATTCCTCTCTTCTAAGTTGGTCAATTCAAGGGGGGGAAATTAGCAAAAGGTTTTCTTTATTAAAGAACTACAAAAGATTGAAATTGTTGAAGGTATTCAGAATTTAGAAAGGGTGGTTTTTTTAATTTAGTTTAGGGGTGGACCTAGTGATAGATAATGGTTATTATTATTATTATAATTTGGAGATTATGAATTCGATGAATCATGAGAACAAATTCTTGTAATGTAAGGATAATATCGAGTAAATAAATTACTCCTTTGATAAGCACGATTTTCATTGAATGTGAGATATATCTATATAAACATAATGCTTATAGTAATCATATAAATTAAATAAAGATGATAATTGTTTCTGTTAAAATTAGAATAATTTTGTTAGTCTTTGACTTGTCATAAAATTTATTATTATTGCTTTGTTCATAATCTTTATGACTGACATCTAATTTTATTGAAAAGGATTTTTGAGCTGACATGCTTGGCGAATTGTACCTCAGATTTGCCAACCAAATTGGCTAGCATGGTCAATCTTATACAAATGATCCACTCTTTTAATCTCTGTTCAAATGATAGCACTAATATATTCGAAGTTATTAGTTTTTTCGGGCAATATCTCTGTTGTTGACAAATCTCTTGATGTTAACCTTCATTTATGTCACCTGCCTACTTCGTCCATAACTCCTTTCATTGCATCTTGCTGATTAGATATGGACTCGCTGGCTGCCATCTTTCTTCTCACAAAAAACTCGAGTCATAGACCCTATTGATGTTTTTTTTATCTCTCTTTCTTAATTCCTTCTCCTCTTTATTGGTATCCTTAAGTATGATTAATCATCCCTCCTAGCCACCCGATTGTTTTTTCAAAAATAAACTTCTTCTATGCATGAGTTTCTCTCATCTATGTTAGCAAAATAGTCTTAATATTTCACATTAACTTTGTTTTTTATTTTATTGTATATTATTATTGATGTCAGGCAATTTATAGATTATACCTTTTTTTTTTCGCCAGCTGTGATGCCTCATCACATAATAAAATCATCAAATTTTTATGAGCTAATGAGTTGCTCTTTATTTTTCATGCCTAAAATTTTTTATATCCTAGCCTTGCACATGAAGTGATGTCAACATCATCATGATCAAGCCTTGTGATTTTTAACTTTAACCTACCAATGTGTTATTTACATTGTATTATTACGTTGCTTTAAGGAAGGGCTTCACTTTTAATCAAATACAAATACTAGTGAAAAAAATTTAATTGGGTCAATCCTCGTGGTTTTTCCTTTTCTTGGATTTTCAACATAAAAACTCTAGCGTCATTTATTATTCTTGCATTCAAACTTTATATGTGTGTATGCTAGATCTCCGTGTAAAATTAGGGCATCAAACTTTATATGTCTTTACTATCGTGATAGTTCAGATACACAACAATAATAAAAGCTCAAACTAGTACATTTTCATAGTAGACATTGGTCGAAACAACTCTTGTCTGTCTTATTTTATGCTTTTTTACTGTTTCTTCTTCACTTGGCCTCCGGTTTCTTCCTACCAATTTTGATTGAGTAGCTTTGGTCATAGAAAATTCTTTTTGGCCTTTTCAAATCTTGGTGGAACTATCCATTCTTACGATCTCAGATATGCCCACTCTTTGCAATCAATATTGTTGTCACTTATGGGAAGGTAGTGCTACTCCACTATTAAAAGATACATGAGATATGCTCTGAATAACCCTAGCATTCCATCCAATTTTCAAAGCCATTAGATGTCCACCTTAAGTCTAATTATAGGCAAATTGCCACCCTCATATAGTGCATGTGATTCATGGGTTCAATTGAACAAAGATTTTATGATTTAAATCAAATCAAAGTTTAACTAATAAGTTTTATGAAAAATTATATTATTATTATATTAATTTATAAAATAGGTTTTGAGAGAACCTTTCAAAGTCCACGTTTTTTTTAATGCATTCAAAAGCGCTTCATAGAAGGGTCTGCGTCCTATAGAGTATCCAACCAAACACAAACTCCAATCTTCACTTCCTTGAGCAAGTTTCTCACCGGTAAAAGGAATAACTTCCGGTTCATTTGGGTGATGCGAAAAACTAAAGACTTTAGGGGGAGATGAAGACGTGTTGGGAGCAAAGATCTGACTCCAGTTCCGCACGGAGGTGTTAGGAGCGATAGTCCCTGAGCAGAGAGGCGGAAAATCCGCTGCATGCAGAGTCGAATCCATGGAGAGAAGCCTCCGGCCAAGCCGGAGGGGCGGCGGAAAAGAAGAGGCTCTGCAGGAGAAGGAAACCCTAGCAGAGCGAAAAAAATCTCTCACGCCGTCAAAAACCAGAAAAAGTAATCTTCAACTGTTCTAATTAAGAACTCAAGCCTAATGTAATCATAGTCATTAGATCTAGATGTCTTCTTCAATCCAATTGCGTGACTTTGGATGTTATTTTTTACCTTTTGACATATAAGCATAGACAACTTGCGGATGATATTTCATATCAATTTTTTTATCATTATAAATGATTTATGAGCCTAAGTCGACTAGCTTAATGAACGTTATAATATGGGCACTTTCACTCTAATAGCCGTAAAGTGTGTGCTCAACTCAATTAATAACTAGTCAAGTTTAGGGTTTTAGATATTTTTCTTAATTGAAGTTATGAATAATCACTTAATCACATTAATGATGATTAATTAAGATTGAGAAGAACTATAGCAAGTGTTGCATCCTGAAATATTCACAGCTGCAGAGAAATATAAAATATAACGTCTTAGCTTTGTACGAAGATCCAACACACAAGAAGATAAAATACAGGGTGTAGCATTCATAAGAGACACAATAGACTTTACGTGGAAACCCCTAAAATGGGGGACAAACCACGGGGCTTAGCCCAGTTTGAATGAATTCACTATTATTTGCAGTCGATTACAAATGAGGCCCTTCATTGAGGGGAAGGCCTTGGTTTGGTATAACATATATACACACATAGAATGTATGACATTGTAGAAATTGGATGAATAAGTATTGATATGTTCAATTAGTAGGTAGGACCATAATTTGCAGTCGACGAAGGTTGAAATGATCATAGTCGGTAGAAAATAAGGGTCATAAAGACCGTTGTCTAGCAATGGAGGTCGGAAGAACCGAGGTAAACGAAGAACGTAAGAAGGATCGTAGTCGGCAGGAGATAGGGGTCAGAAAGACCATTGTCATAAGGCGGTAGTCCGGCGGAACTCTAGCATTAGGTCATGGTCCGGTGAAACACTAGCATCAAGTGGTGGTCTAGCATAACTCCGGGTGTCAGGTGGTGGCCCGGCGGAACACCGACATCAGGCGGTGGTCCGATGGAACTCCAGGCGTTAGGTGGTGGTCCGGCAGAACACTGATGTCAGGTGGTGGTCCGGCGGAACTCCAGGCGTCAGTTGGTGGTCTGGCAGAACACCGACGTCAAGTGATGGTCCGACGTAACTCTAGGGGTCAGGTGGTGGTCCGGTAGAACGCCGGTGTTAGGTGGTGGTCCGCTGGAACTTTGGACGTCAGGAGGTGGTATGACTAAACACTGGGCGGTGGTTGAGGAGGCAAGAGCGATCTCCGATCTCTCTCTTGCCCTCTTGCTTGGGTCCCCTTTCAAGAGGGAGGTGGGGCCTATTTATAGAATTTCTAGAGTGACATAACCCATAAATAGGAGGAGGATCAAGGGCAAATGAGGAGTGGTTTGGATGGATAGCCGATGTTGAATCCCTTGATCGTGGATAATTCACTAAACATTTGAAGGTATTAATGATGTTGAAATTTTATGATCTTGGGCTCATTGGATTCATCTTGTCGAGACACTCAATTCGACTATAAGCATGTCACATTTAGAAACTGTTGGTAATCCGAATTGTGGTTCGAACCTTCCAACAATGCTTCGGGTCGTTGATTTGGGCTAATTTGAGCTCGGATTGAGTCGAATTTGGTGTAGTTGGGTTTGTATTTCTGAGAAATTTAGTTTAACCATAAGTTTGTTGAAATCAAAGTTTAGATGACCCCGAATTTAATTTTTGAAGTTTCCAACTTGATTTTCCCTCGAGATTCATGCCCGATCAAGATTATTTTTGAGGATGTATAGCAAGATTAATCTTTGTTGCAATTTCTAACTTTTTCTCCTGATCAACACTACAATAAGTATCGAATAGGTGTCCCCAAAGAATGCATCGGACTACGTACACATGGAAACTAGAGATTAATTACACAAAGAATGTAACCTCAATATGAGGGTTATTGATAGTTTAAATGGAATATGGAGAGTGGGTTTCTTATAAATTTTTAGGATGGATTCAAGAAGAGCTTAAGGATTTAAGAGTTGATTAGGGGATATCAATGCTCAATTAGAGGGGCAGATGCACTCATTAGATGCCTTATATGAGTTTATGACCGGGCTTAATATATGGTGTTAGCTATGGTTAGCCAATTAAATGTAGCTGTGGAGTAAAATTCTTAATGCATAGCTTGGCTTGCTAGATACATTTGTTTTTAAAGTCACCAATAATGTGGGAAGGTTTCATCGATTGTTAATAATGAAAGCTAAGAACTTATGAGATTAGATTATAAGGATTATGTTAGATTGGATAAATTTTACTTGGTTGGAACACAGGGGCGGAACTGACCTTACATTTTTTTGAGTTTCGGGTCGGGTTCGGGTTGACCCGGAAACCCGATAATGACCCGGAAATGCTCTGCCCATTTCTGTTGCCCGGTGTGCCCGCCCCTGCCCGCAAAATGACCCGCACATGCCGCGTGCGCGTCTAGTCGTAGTCGAGGCACTCTGCCCGCGACATGACCCGTGCGGCCAGTCGCGTGCCGAGTGCCTCGTGCAGTCGTGCGCATCGAGTCGCAAGTTCGCCTCGTTCGAGGCTGTCGCCGTGCTGCCGCTGCGCTGTTGCTGCCACACCGCCAGTCCGCCGCGCTGTTGCTGCCGCACCGCCGGTCCGCCGCGCTGCTGTTGCCGCACCGCTGCCGCTGCTGTTTCCAACCAGGCAATCATTGTCTTGCCGCCGCCGCTTTAGGCTTCAGCTAAACGCGTAAATCCGTGTTGAGTCGGGTTGACCCGGACCCGAATCGGGTCGGGTTCGGGTCCGGAAACCTGACTCGTTTTTTAAAACGGGCCGGGTTCGGGTTGACCCGAATAGTGCCGGGTCAGTTTCGGGTTCGACCCGAACCCGACTCGTTGTCCCGAATTGACACCCCTAATGATGATGATTATTGATATAACAGAATAAAACCTCACCAATGGAGTGGATGGCTAC